TACAATTAGGGAAAACATGAGTTTCATAAAAAAAAAAAAAGGTAATGAAACTTGTCAAGTAAAACTTGAATGATGGAGTGTAATGTAAATACATGATTGAGAGTGGGAAGAAATTTTTTTACTTCATGTATCTATATATATATATATATATATATGAGGTTGATGATCTATGAAAAGTTCTTTTTTATTATTATAACCAATACTTGTTTCAATGATATCAAGACTATTCATGAACAAAGAAATATGTCAATATATCATGGAGTTTTAAAAGCTAGTAAAATGGAATCGACTTCAAAAAATGGAGAATCAATATTTTATGAGATTCTTACTAAAGTTAGCAATATGAAATAACTTTAGAGTATAGATGTTGATTATAGTCGCTTTAGCAAGGAGCTTAGCATGAAAAGATGAGATGTTGATACAAAAAAAAAAAAAAAGGCTAGAAGCATTAGTAAATTCAATCCTTCTAGAAGGCTACATAATGAGGCTCGAAAATTCAATATCACTATTAAGGAAACGGTAGTAAAAACATCAAAGTAACCTTCAATGAGATAATTGTTAAACATGATAAGACTATAAAGAAGCAAGTTGATACTAGCAAATCAAAAAAACTTAATGTCAAGCCAATAATTTAAAACTACTTTAAATGTAAGAAGGCATGGCATTGTTATTGTAATTATAGAAGGCAGAAATCAATCAATGTGATTGAAGGTAATGTGAGTAAAAACCTTTTAAATATAATGGTAAGTTATATAAACCCGATTCAGATGAGGAAGAAGATTTGTATAAGTATAATAATAATGATAATAACAATGATGGCGAGGGATAAACCTATCTAGTTAGGAAGATATTGCCAACATCAAATGTTATAGAAGATTCACAGCAAAACAAGTTATTTTGTACTCAATACACCATAAATAATAACTTGTTTGATTTGATTATTGATAATAGTTGCTATGAAAAATTATTGATAAATATATTGTTGATAAATTAAAATAGCCATTAGAACCACATCTTAAACTATATAAAATTTGATGGATTAAGACAATAAGAAAAATAAAAGTAACTCAAAGTTGTAAAGTACCTTTTTTCTAACAAAAATATAGGGATGAGACTTCTTATCACATGGTATTAAAAATGCATTTAGTTTAATATTCGGTAGGTCTTTGTAGTATGATGCAAATGCTAAACACTTAGGTAGTGATAATTTATATAATGTGAATTTTAACATTTTCTTTGAAAGAAAAACCAAACCCAAACTTTATAAAATAGAATGAAAGGCTTTCCTTACCACAATTAATTCAAAACATGAGATGCAATTAGATGTAAAGAAGACTAGACTTGTTTATGCATTAATTATAAATAAAAGAGTAGCAAGGGAAAATATAGTTATTCCTACTATAGTTAAACCTTTTCTTTCTAAATTTGGGAAGATTCTACTTATTAGTTATTGGATGGATTACTCTTGATGAGAGATTCAATATCATATTGATTTAGTGTCATGAGCTAACCTTTCAAATTTACTATACTATTAAATGAGTCATAAAAAGGATGAAATATTGAAGGATAAAATGAAAGAGCAATTCATAAAATGATAGATTCAAGAAACCTTTGGTCTTCACATAATTTTAGCCTTGTTAACCCTAGAGAAGGATGGTAGCTAGGGTAAGAATATTGAAAATGTTGTCATTAATAATATAATTATGGGTCACAAGTTTTTAACTCCCTAGTTAGATGACATGATTAACCAGTTATATAGATTATTAATTTTTGCAATGATTGATTGGAGGAATGATGCTATCATATCTAAATTTGACCAGGAGATGAGTGGAAGTCAACCTTTAATACAAAAAATACATTGTATGAGTAGTTGGTTATGTATTTCAGATTATCTAATATATCTAACCTTTTTTCTAAGAATAATGAAAAAGATTTTATGTCTCTTTATAAATTAATTTATGATTGTTTATTTTGATAACATCTTGATTTATAGTTAATCTGAAATTAACCAAATGGGACATCTAAAAAAAGTGTTGGTGAATTTGTTGGAAAATAAACTATATATGAACTTGAAAAGATATAGTCTTATGACCGATAAATTACTATTTTTAGGTTTTTTTATTAGCATAGATGACATATCAGTTAATGAAAAGAATGTTAGGATTTTTAGAAATTAGTCAATCCATAAAATAGTTAATAAGGTGTGCAATTACGATAGATTAACTACCTTTTATTGACAACTCATATAAAACTTCAATAATATAGTTGCACTAATTACTTAATGCATAAATAAATGGGAGTTCAATTAGGGAGAAATGGAAAAGAGCTATGATTTGATTAAAGAAAAAATAATCATTACTTTGATTTTGACACTTTTGAATTTTGACAAAATATGTAAGGCTGAATATAACACTTATGTTGTTGGAACTGGCTATGTACTCTCTTAAGAGAAGAGACTCATGATATTTTTTGGTGAGAAGTTAAGAAATGCTAGATTTAAAAGGTCCATATATGATAAGGAGTTTTATACTGTTTTCAGACTCTGATAAAGTAGGAGCACAACCTAATAGATAAGAAATTTGTTTTGTATTCTAATTTTAAGACGCTGAATTTTTAAATACTTATAATAGAATCACTAATGACATACACGCAAGATGAGTAATTTATTTGTAGCGGTTCCAAATCAGAATTGTGTATAAGGTTATAATTTAGAATGTAGTTTTTGATTCTTCAAGTCAAAGGTAGCCTTGTTAATTACTTTAAAAGGAGAGTTCACTAGGTCCAATTATTTAAAGAACTATTTGAACATGATGAAAATTTTGATGAGTTATAAGGGAAGTGTTAAAGTTAGAATCTATCTATTAATGACTTTCACATTCATTATGGGTTCTTAATGAGAGGTGATTGACTTAGCATTTTTCATTCTTTATTGCGAGAAAAGGTGATTTAAGATTTGCATAGTGAAAGATTGTCTAGTCATTTATAGAGAAAGAAGACCACTAATGATATAATTGAGAGGTATTATTGACCTCAATTCAAATATTGACAAGTTTATGCAAAGATATTATATTTGTCAAACTATTAAAAGGCAAACAAATAATACAAGTTTATACATATCATTGCCTTTTCTTAAAAATATATGGAAGGAATTGTCTATAGATTTTGTACTTAATTTACCCCATACATAAAGAGGAGAGGATTTTATATTTGTTGTAGTTATCATGTTCTCTAAAAAAACGTGTTTTATCCCTTATAAAAAGATAAATAATGCTTTTATAATTGCTCAACTTTAATTCCAAGAGGTGGTTCATTTGCATAGGATGTCGAAGACCATCAATTTTGATTTAGACAACAAGTTTCTTAATCGTTTTTTATGGACGTTACGAGGGATGAATATTTCAACCCTATAATTTAGTAGCACAACATATCCATAAATAAATTGATAAACCAAGTCGTTGAATCAAATAATTAGTAACTTCATTCGGAACATCTTTGATGACACACTAAAATTTAGAATTGTGCGCTTATGCAAGAAGAATTAATGTGCAACAGTTCTAAGCATAGTGCCACTAATAAACCACCAATCAATATTGTGTATTTGTAATGTCCTAGACATGTACTTGATCTTGTATCACTTCAGAAGGGTTTTGGATATAACTTGTTACTAGGAAGATGGTTATGGATGTACAAGTTATGCTTAATACGAGGTAAAAAATGTTGAAAACTAATTCTAAATATAAGGTGATTGCCAATAAATATTGTCATGCTAATATTCAAGAATGAGATAAGGTGATAGTGTTTCCATACAAAAAGAGATTATTTATAGGGTTCTATAATAAGTTGCAGGAAAAGAAATATGGTCCTTACACCAAAATAAAGAAAATTAATGACAATGCTTATATTAGTGATCTACCAGATGATGGGTATTCCTAGGACCTTTAATGTTTCCTATATTTATCTTTATTATGATGAAAAGATATTATATCTAAAATTTGGTGTTGTAAATATATTTATGGATTAGGTAGATAAGGCAAAGCTTGTAAAGAATCTTGTGAAGAAATCAAAACATTTGAAACACGCAATGTGACAAAAATAACTATAACTTTAGATTCAACTATTAGATCAGGTACAAATTATGATAGATGATTCTATAAGCCTAGTTTCAAGGAAGTCAATTAATTATAACTAGCTGAGGAAAGTCTTTAAATTTGGCTAAAAAAATGTTGTTTAATTATTTTCCTCGTTAAGTTTAGGTTTTAATCACTATTTTTTACTTTGATTTGGATTTGTTTTTGTTAGTTTGGTTTCAATGTCTCTATAAATAGTTAATGTGTGTTTTTTTTCCTTATGTTATTGATTTGTAAACTTTTCAGAAAATATCAGAATTTTTTCAAGCTATTTCTTTATAGTTTAGGACTGTAATTTCAGGATTTGAAAACCCTAGTTTTTATCTATGCTATATGCTAAGTCACATTTATAAGAACAAAAATCATTTGTGTGTGTGTGTGTGTGTGTGTGTGTATATATATAATTGACAATCAAGGTTAAATGATTAAGTATTCGCATGTGTCTCTATCTTTTACTTCTTACAAGAAATATTTACTTTTCACTTTAATTTTTAATTAATTATTATAATGTTTTTCTTTATATATAAGTTAGTAGTTTATATATTTTTTAATTAATTTAATTAGGCAAAGACATCATTTTTTATTTTTTAATTAAAAAAATTCATGACATGAGAAAACTTATCTACAAGGTCAACATTTTTTATAATATGAGAAACTAATTTATAATTTTACTTGCAATATAATACAAGTACTTGTACTACTTGTTACTAAATTAGTTTAAAGACAAAGTCAATAACATTGGATGTTATTTGTGCTAGGTTATGAACTAAGGCTGAATGATGATTATATAGATATATAATAAAGCAACAATTTGGTTTCCTAATAACTAATACTCTAAATAATTTGTGTTTCTTTTCCCTCTTTCTTATTAATAGAACAATTCTTTGCCTTTCAACAAATATGCATTTTTGGCGACTCACAATGCCTATGCTATTGATGGATACCCATCTCACACTAGAGTTCCTCGAATCACATTTACCAATCAAGAAGACAACGTCATGGATCAGCTAAATGTAAATGTTTCTTTCCTGTTTAAATATCCCTTTTCCATGCTAGAACATCTTTTGTTGTCAATTAACAAATGCCATTAATTATTTGACTACAGAATGGAGCTCGAGCCTTGATGCTTGATACTTATGATTTTCGTGGAGATGTATGGTTATGCCATTCATTTAAAGGACAATGTCATGACTATACTGCATTTGTATGGACATTTTATTCCCTACTAAGTTTTGTGAGATTTTATTCCCTTTATTTTATTCATAGTTTAAAAATGTTTTGTGTTTACCACTAGTAGGGTCCAGCTATTGACACTCTAAGGGAAATTGAAGCTTTCTTATCTACACACCCATCAGAAATTGTTACAATAATTTTAGAAGATTATGTACAAGCCCCAAATGGATTGACGAAGGTCTTCACTGATGCTGGCTTGATGAAATATTGGTTTCCTGTGACAAACATGCCCAAAAATGGTCAAGATTGGCCATTAGTTAATGACATGGTCCAAAATAACCAAAGGCTACTTGTTTTCACTTCAATTCAATCCAAGGAAGCAAGTGAAGGCATTGCTTACCAATGGAATTTTATGGTTGAAAATCAATGTAAGAAATATTAAAAAAATGTCAATAATTCTTTCATTTTTTTTTTACTTTTTATAAAGCTATAGAATTTGTTATGAATATATGCATACAATTGTTTTTGGCAGATGGGAATGTTGGCATGAAAGCAGGAAGTTGCACTAATAGAAAAGAGTCATCTTCTCTTAATGACAAGAGTAGATCATTGGTGTTGGTGAATTACTTTAGATGTATTCCTATGAAGAAACTCTCTTGTGAAGATAACTCAAGAAATCTCATAAAAATGCTTCATACCTGTAGCGGTGCTGCTGCCAACAGATGGGCAAATTTTGTTGCTGTAGATTATTACAAGGTATATGTATATACATACACACCTTGCAAATTATCTTTAAATTCTCCTACAATTACATTTCCTCTCATTTACCTATAAGTCTCAAGATCCAATCTCTTCTTAGTAACAAAGGAAAAGAATAAAAATAAATAAATCCCTTATAATGATGTTCATTCAGTATTTTTGTTGATTAGATCATTAGAAATAAAATAGAAGAAATCTAGAGTAACAAAAAATAAAGTGGTATGTTTTTTTTTGCCACAGAGAAGTGAAGGAGGAGGATCATTTCAAGCTGTGGACCTGCTAAATGGGAAGCTATTATGTGGGTGTGATGATATCCATGCATGTGTGGTAAGTTATAATTGGGATTAAGTTTGTTAACATTCACCGTATCAAAAT